ATATGCCAAGGCCGAGGCTGGTGGTGGGCTCCATAGACAAACCCTCGAACAAACAGACTCCGTGGGCTCGGCATCTAGATCTGTGGGACCAGTTTTCACCTGACAGAAAAACCTATGATAAAAAAGGCACATCTAGACTAGATGTAGTAGTATTCATTGATGAGGGCCTGCATGGGGGGGGGGGCAGTGATTACGAATTACAAAATATTTTCGCCGCCGATTACGAATTACGTTAAAGTCTCAGAGCTGATTACGACTTCACGCTTTGCAGCTCATGTTCTATTACGAATTACGTTGATTTTTCGGGAGGCTGCCTACAGATTACGAAGACTAAAAAGGCCTGATTACACCTCACGAAAAAGGGCATGCAGGCCCTCAGTCATTGATCATCAATACTGTGACTTCGTGTGGAGTGTGCCTTTGTGCCATTTTTTGGAAGATACCTGGAAAATATCACACATAGTTCATATGAAAAATAAATGAGATGACGTTGCACATGCATGTCAAATTACAGCTTAGCGAGCGATGATTAAACATTCCACATTATATATTCATATCTATATATATTTCATTATATTACACATGTAGCTCCAGGACAGCGCCCCCCTCCCCCATACCATGTGCAAGTGTGCTATCAAACTGCATGCCACATAATTTTACACAACAAACATTTTCTGCATCACAAGAAATGCCCGGTATATATGGGGTCGTGAAAGTCGTCTTAAGTGCCTTTCCCAAGTGCATAAGAACACACGAACCGTAATATTTTTCTCGTCTCCAACTTGCTTACTTTCGGGGTCAAAGGGACCTCCGGGTCATTCCAGGTCATTCACCTTACGGAAGACCGCATGCAAACGAAACGCACACTTTGGCGATTCTGTTTATCTTTTAATCTCCCACGAGGTATTAGATAACTTCTAACTCGCTGAATACGTGGGAAAATGTGTGAGTAATTCTTTATTACAATTTCACGTTCATTCATAGTGATAGATATCTTATTTTGAGAACGATGATTTTCCAGAGCGTTTGGTGCGCTTAGGGTATCCGGAAAAGATGGGCTAGGGCTAGAGCCAGGGCTAGCCAGGCTAGGCCAAGGCTATCCAAAAAAAGGCGGGCTAGGGCTAGGAATAGGGATAGGGTTAGGGTTAGGGATAGGGTTAGGGATAGGGATAGGGATAGGGTTAGGGTTAGGGTTAGGGATAGGGGTAGGGTTAGGGATAGGGATAGGGATAGGGATGGGGATAGGGATAGGGTTAGGGATGGGGATAGGGTTAGGGATAGGCTTACTTTTGGCGTGTTTTAGGCTTTTTGTCGGGCTTTCTTTTTTGCACTGGTATCTTTTTTGGCGTGAAATTTAAAAGACGCCAAAAATAAACCAAAACCAAAACCTCTGAGAGTCGCTCATTGGTTGAAAGTTAAATGCCCTGGCGGTCATCGACCTTTGCACTTTGGCCATGCGCCAGACGGCAGGACTTGCACTTCGTCAAGCGTTCGGAGTCCGATTTGGGACGCTTCCTACCAGCAAACGCCTGTTTTCTCTAGCTTATCCAACAGAACGACTGTACGGCAGAGGCATGGAGCGCATGCAGGCGATTTTTGGGCACCTCTCGGGGCCGAACAGGGTCCAAAACTCGGCGTCTTCCACACTGACTCAAAACCAGGTGAAAGGTCGCTTTGCGGAGAGTGAGGACGATGTCGTGATCGTTTCTGCTCTGAGAACTCCGATCGGCAAGGCTGGAAG